TCGATTGAACCGGCCTGCGAAATACCGAACGCTTCAACCGCCGACTAATTGTCGACGCTGCCCCGCACGCAAAGGCCAGGACATTTGGGGCAATCCCCTTCGAGCACCCTCCTGGCTGTCGGCCTATCTGCCTCGGTCGCTGCCGCCGCTACCTGTCCGTCTTTAGAAGCGCCCGTTTGTTGCGCTTTTAGAACGCCTCGCTGAGCAAACAAGACGACTCCCCAACCCGGCAAGCGAGGCCAGGGCTGCACTTACGCATACACGCACGCACGCACTCATCCAGCCCAGCCCTGCCCGGCACTTGCCTCGTTCCTCTTTGACCACGAGCCACCCCAATTGCGCTTCGACCCACAACATACAACGAGGTCGCTCAGGCCGACCAGCAGCAAAACGCAAACTTGCTTTGTCGCATCGTCCTGCAGGCCGGAGCATTATCGGCTTCCCGAGCGAGACTGCCAGTCACAAGCTCGCTCTTTATCGTGCGCGGCCTCCGCCTTCTTTATGTCCCTTGATGGTGAGCAGGCTTCATGCTTCTTTCTGCTTGTTAGACGCAAACCTGATGTTCCTCGTGCCCGTATTCGCACCTCCACCCCGGGCCTCCATCTCACATCCAGTTATACTCCCCTCGTGTCCTCCCAATGCCAGACCTTCCATCTAACCGTCACGATCAGTCTGGGAACCACTCTTAACGACCGAGGCAATTCGCCGACGACCTTGTCCGTTCGATCGTCGATAACCGCCCGGCTTAACGCGATGTCAGCCTTAGCCAGCGATCCCTTCCACGACGCGCCTCCCGAAATCAAATCATTCCTCCTTTCCGAGGAGGTACCCACCACGGTTAAGGAATGGTTTAAAGGCAAAGTAGCAAGTCGCGCCCGCGTCCGCGACCGCGACACAAGGATCCGGGCACTGGAGGAGGAAAACGCAAGGCTTAAAGAGGAGGCTAAGGAGAAGGCCCAGCAGCAGGCTGAAAAGCAGGCTGAGAAGATCAGACAGCAGGCTGAAGAGAACGAAAACTTGCGGGCCGAGCTTGAAAAACTGCGCCAAAGCAAGCAGAAAAGTACAGCCGGGACCAGTGAGCAGGCTGAGCAGCGTGCCGAGAACATCGAGAGACAGCTGGCCGAACAGCACGCCAAAGGGATCGAGAATCTCCGGGCCGAGCTAGCCAAGAAGATAGAGGAACTAGAGGCCGACAAGGAGCGGCTCAAACAGGAGGCTGAAAAGGCCAAGAGACAGGCCGAACTTGAGCTTCGTCGACAGAATACGGCCGGGACTGGTGAGTAGCACATTAAGCAGGCAACCTCCGAACAAAGACTAACTACCGAATTAGATGCAGTCTCTGGGGCACCTGCATCGGGCCCTTTGTCATCCTCGGCTGCGTCATCGACGGCGAGCAGCGAGCAAGAGAGTAGCGCCGGCTCCACCGATTCCGCAAGCACTTCCAGCACTTCCAGCAGCACCCCCCGCGAAAGCCAGTCGGATGCACCTCCAACGAAACCCGCACCACTTGAGGTCGACCCCGGCTCTGGACGAAAAACCCCTCGAGGTTTCCTCCCGATCAATTCACCGCTGGGCGATGCTCACGCCGCATCAAGCGGCGATCCCGAACCGCAGTCGTCCAGCAGTCCCGCCCAAGATGCAGCCGACATCGATATGTCCGACGCCGCCGACGCCGCCGACGCCGCACCCCTAGGCAGCAATCCCGGAGCACAGTCACCGTCTAGCAGTTCCCTTAGCAGCCCCCCCGATAACCCCTTTCAGGATACAGCCGACCCTCCCCTAAACGCCAATACGAGCTTTGTGGTCGACTTCGAAACCTCGAAACCGCAAAGGCCGCGTTCAGTTCTCAAAAAGCCCAAATTCAGGGGGCCCCACAAACACAAGCTTCTTAACGCGGTTAGGTGGGGAAAAGCGCATTTCCAAGAAAAAGGGGTCGACGAATTCGAACCTGGGAAGTTCATTAGGGCCGGGGTGTTCCATGAAGTTTGCACCATGAAATCCTGGCCGGTGATTGACCGCTCGAGTGTTTATGCGCTTAATAAGATGAAGAATAAACGCTTTGCCATTATCCTCTGCCATGTTGAGGATAGGCTCCAACTTTTGGGGAGCAAGCCTAATCATTTCGTTGTGGCCAATGTCGACTGGAGGGAGGAAACGGTGGAAAACTTGCAGGGAAAAGGCAAAGGTGGACGAAAGGAAAGATCGGGGAAAAAGTCGGGGAAGTTTACACACTGGGGAATGGACCGAAATATGGCAGACAGTCTGCGGGAGGATTGTGAGAAAGAATTGGAGTTTGAACTGGAAGACTCCGAAAACGAGGTAAGGAGAGCCCTTCGAAACTTGGTTGATATTTTCTAACCTTATTTATCCAGCTTGGCGACTATACCGGCAACACCTGTCTGCTTCAATGTTTGACGGCCGTTCGATCCTACTTCGGGGTAGAGGCGCCCCAAGGCGATCAAGGCGATCAGCACTTAGTGCGATCGTTTTACCTTAAACTTCTGTTGGAACACTGGGTCTCCCAGAACAACGAAGAGGCCACATCTGGAACCTTACAGGGTCCACAGAACAACTCTTGCGGCCCGACTACATCGACTGCCAACACGCAAATAGCTATAGCCGAAGGCCCTTTGGCCGCGGGTCTACCAGAATCTGCCATTCAGCACGGAAATGAAGCCACGGTCGAAGACGTTCCAAGCGACGGCTCTGTTCACCAGTCTCCCCAGTCGGCCGCCCATTTCACTTCGGCCCAATTCGCCCCACTGGCCGGGCCATCCCGAAAATGCCTCCCCAACGGCCGAACCACAGCGGCCGGGGGGACTTCGACCGCGTCTGGCTGCAGCCCGCTTCCTTCAGGTTCTCTGCCAAAACCGCCCCTGCAGTCTATGCACGTTAACGACATGGGACCAAACTTGGCCAAGAATCTGTGGGATAAGTTCGGGCCCTCAGTCGGCGGCATGATCCGCATCGAGGGCTTGTCGCCACCTACCTCGGCCGAACTGAAGGAGAAGATTCAACGGCCGGATCAGAAATGGGATCTGCTCGGTGTGAGGTACAGCCTTGACGAACGGGGCACGTGCAGGGTACATCTCGCCTACCCAGAAGGCCGGTTCAGTTTACCGGACTTCTCCGATGCGGCGCCTCAGGAGGATCCCGAACGGTTCCTCGACGAAATTTGCGCCAACCCCCCTAAGGAAGTCATCAATTACTACGTCGGGCCTCAGTGTACAGACCCCGAAGAGCAGTTCAACGGCCTGCTCCATCCAGGCAAGCTTGGAGAGCTGGCGAAGCTGCGGCGGCAGAAAGCCAAAGAGCCGGGCGATTCAGGGCAGGACTGGGAGGTTGCCGGCGTAACTACTCCTTACGAACACATCGGTCACCGGTTGTCGGCCACCTGCTTCCATCGCGAAGACGCACACTATTGGTCCGCCAATATCAGCCTTTCCGGGGAGAAGATATGGGTTGTAATCAAGCCAGAGTTTACGGGAGCCTTCGAAGCATACGTTAGGGACCGTTACGGCAGTCTCGACTGCGACCAGTGGCTCCGCCACCACAACCTGCTCATTGGGCCATTTACACTTCGTGCGGCAGGCATTAAATTCGAGGTACTGAGCGCCCAACCCGGCATGATGGTCGTTACAAGGCCGGGACAGTACCACATGGTCGTTAACAGGACCCCGTCATTCGCCACAGCCATTAATTTCCTGATGCCTGGCGATTCGCTATTGCCCGGAGCCGCGACAAAAGTTTGCGAGGACTGCGGTCTCGGGTTCGCAAAGGAAGAGAAGCTTTGGGACTTTGAACGTGTGGGGAAAAATCAGCTGTCGTCACGTCCGAAACGGGCCGCCGCTCTACGCCCTGCAGTTTCCAGCGCATCCAGGACATCCCCCAGCAAGAAGAAGCGGCCCGCAGCCGAGCAGATAGACACCGACTTACCGGGCAAGCAGCTACAGAAAAAGCTGAGGGAGCTGCCACCTCCCAAAACGCTGGCGGAAAACCTGACGAACAAAGAGGCGATCTTGCGGGGAGTAAAACAACTCCTTGCTGCCAAAGAGATGGCTGATTCCCCGCAAACATTAACCGGTTTCAAGGTCCGAGGACAATGGTTCCAGCAGGCTGCTGAACTCTATCGTTTTTGCCTCAAGCATGAGCGCTCTTCCGCTTTCTTTGCGCTTCTATCCGTGGTTGCTTTAATGAGTGCCATGGAAAAAATGCGTGCTCGCATACCCTCTGGGTTCAAGAAAGTGCCATCCGAGGTATACAGCGCGGTCTTCCGAGAGATCGGCGGCACGAAGAGGGCTTTTGATGACAAGATGTGGCGGTCTCGCAAACTTGCGAGGGTTTTCAACGACAAGTACCGAGGTCTTTTGCTTTTCATCTGCTTCGACAACGAAGGCCCTTCAACTATTTCGGCTTTTACGAAGATGTCTGATGACGATGTTACGGAACTTCACATGACTATTGACAACGACAAACGGGCAGGTGCACTGGCCCGCATTGGTAATGAGTTCTTGGGCTGTATTTTGAAAGACACTGCTTTCCGTAACGGAGTTTGGGCGGATCTTCCTTGCCAACAACTCGAAGAGATGGACGACGAGGGTTTGTTCGACTTGATTACACAAAAAGGGATCTCTAAGTAGTTTTCATTAGGACATGGCAGTTTGTCACGCGAATCCTGCCAGGATAACGCATGTTTTTTTAAGTACGCGACTTGTTTGGCTAGCGGTCGTGCACGGGCCACAAATGTTTCAGACACATGAAAATGTGTGGCCCGTGCACGACCGCCAGCAGGTGCAACCTATTGCAAAATTCACGCTCTAGATCCGGGCTCCATACTGGAGCCGGACGGACAAACACACCGGACCGTGCACATGGCCTCCGCACTCGGGGCGCGGAGCTCCCCGAACAACGCGTCCGCGTTCCGTTCTGCTCCCTCTATAAAAAGGGAGCAGAGGGTTGTTGTACGACCCTCTCTTGTACTTAGAAAAACAGGACAGCTTCTAGATATTTTGCAATGCAACTAGAAGCCTTTCCCACCCGACCTTAAGAGGCTGTCCACGAACAAATATACCTAGCGCGATCTTGGGCCGCTCGCCGTAAACATCGACAGCCGCGTCCACCAAACGCAGACGCCATCTCTATTGCTCGTGGCGATGACGAGGAGCTTTGTCATGGCATGGCATGAGGTCTGGCTGACTCGGCCGTGCACGTGTCCCACAGCCTGGCATTCAAGTGCGGTCACGAGCATCGCCATCTTGTAGATTCCCTCGTTCCCTCTCCATCTTCAATTCTAAGGTCTACTTGGTAGGTTACACGGTTCTATTGTGCCGGTCCGTGACAGTGGTTAATATATGCCATTGCACCAAAGCCAAAATGGAAGTGTTTGCGAGTCGTTACCTTCACCAAAAGGCGTGCGGCCGGGGCACAGATAATGCCGGGCGGTGTGATAGGCCCTGTACGAGAGCGGCCGAGTCGCTGTGCGTATTATCGGACCGGCGGCAAGGATTTTCTAATCGTTGCCTCGCTGCGCCAAGCGGAAGAACAGTGATGATATATTTGCCGCTGTACGAGTCCATATCAATAGGGGCAAATACCTCAAGCCAGAGACCAGCGTGCGGTTGGCGCCAGGAGCGCGGCTGCATGTGATGATAGACATATCGCGATTGTTTTCCCTCCTGGCGCCGCGGTGCCGGACATGCCCACTTATTTTAGTATTCAAACTCGGAATGGATGGGGCGATCAATTAAGTAATTGCGTGACGGGCGCGGCTTGAGGGTGGCTAGGCGCAGTAGCATAGTGTTACAATTGAAAATCATTACGCGCACTGTCGTCGTCGAGGCGAACTGTGTGGCAACTTCCTCGCGCTTTTTCGGGTGTGGCTGGATTGGGTGAACGATGCCCGTGGTACTTGGGAGTAACGAAGGGTACCTGGGCCCGCAGCCGTAGCATGCAATACTTAGCTAATTATATTAAACTTGGACTTTGGGCCCTTTTAAACGTTATCCAATCATACGGCGTGTAGGCGACCTTTTGCACGCGCGTGTACCTCAGCGGTACCGTTCTGCAAAGTACCTTGCCCGCGAGGGGCCCTGCCTGCCGTGACAGCGAGCTTGTCGGAGCAGATGAATTGGCCAAACTTGAGGCCGACCGGAGGGCTGTCTGGCTTGGCATCGTGTTTGCCCGCTCGCAGCATCCAGAGTAACGCAACACGATCTATGTAATCGGTAGAATAGACTATCAAAAGGTAGAGTCAAAGGAAGGGTTCGGTGCCTTGCACCTAGACCCGGGATCAGAGTTTTACCCTTTGTGCACGGACCTAACCGCCTAATCGGTGCACATAGTGGATCCAATGGGTGGAGGCCTGCCAAGGCCCGCCGATCCATCACACCTGGGCCGTGATATTGCCACACGGAGCTGTCGCCATCTAACAAGCATTGGCTTCGCGACGTTCTTTCACATTCTTGGGCCTTCTATTTGCCACATTTTAGGTATATAATTAAGGGCAGGCAGTAGGTGGTGGGTGGGGAGGTGGTAAAGTCGTTATTTGAAAAGTTTCGCAACGGCCTCGCGCCCGTTCTCCGCGGCCCACAACAGCGGCGTCCGCCCCCCCACTATCCTTCGAGTCGACGTCGACCTTGCCCGTAGCGAGCAGCAGCTTAACGACAGCCTCGCGCCGTT